CAAATAGCTTTACAAATGTAGAAGAGCCCTTTTTCCATTGCTGCATAACATATTCAATTACATTACAATGGTTTATAGGCATGTTCTCAAAGCTTCCAAAATTTTGGTCATCACATATAACCACAAAACACCAAAAGAAGGGCCATACATTTACGCTCGAAACACCACCTACCCACTTAGAACAACACCCAAAACATCAAATACACAACCATTAGAACAAAGACACCAAATACAATATGAACCATTAATTTTTTGAGCTCAACACCAATAGAGGCTGCAATCAAGACATCAAATTTCCTTTCAACAATATCATTCATAGCATTTGCCATAGTTTTCTCAATAATTTCATCAAATTTTTGTATGGTGTCCTCATCTGTTGTAGAAATGGTGTGGCTTGACTCAACAACTGCACCTCCATTCACTCTGTTTCTTAATTGCCTTCTCAATACTGAATTTTATGTTGTAAGAGCCTTTTTCTCGGGAATCAACAACTTTAGTAGCTCAATGGCTCTCTCATGGGACAATTCCAAGTCATGCCAAACAAAATACGGGCACTTTAAATCCTGTCATTAAACAACCTAAAAGTAATAAATAAAAATTGGAAGAAAACAACAAACAACAGATAAGTAATATTACATTGGCTTAAGGCAGAACCCCAAATTTACCTCATTCAAGAAGTGCCGACAACCATAAAATCGTCTCCCAATGCTCCATGGTCTCCATGAAGTCCACCTTGGTGCCTTGAAGCCACACTCACAGTACATTTGAGGACCTTCATAGTTGTGCTCAACCAGCCCAACATCCCTCACAACTGTTCTCGCCATTGCACCATCACTTGCACCAGTAGAGGCTCGACCAGGTCCAGCTCCAGAATTAGAGGAAGATTCCATGCGAATAAACTCACAAACACCCACAATCTTTTCCCCTCGACTAATTTCAGGAAGGAATTATAGAAATGAGAGAAAGCCTTGTGGTTTTGTGGTTTTGAATTGAAGAGAACCCTAACCCCCAACTTTGAAAACTTTGAATTAGGGCAAACAAGTTAGTCATCAAATATCGGTTAAAAATGGGTAAAGAGTGGGACCCACCAGTCATATTGTCAAACAAAGGGCGCGCAAATGACACGGTGTGTGAAAAAGAGCGAAATTGGTACACATCAGCATCCAGCATGTGAAAAAACGACACGCTGGCACAGGCTAAACGGAGATTGTGACAGTGATGACGTCGCCTGTTAGATAATGATCGATTTGGGAAGATCGATACTTTTGGGATGTCATTTGTCCCTGTTTTTTTTTTAGGGGTGGATCCGTCCCTACCCATATTTTTCAGGGTGTGATTTGAGGGTTCTGCCCCTTTACGTGGGCATTACACTTCTGAAGCTTCTAGTTTAGAGAGATAAAGAAAAACAGTGGAAGAAGGAAACCTTGTTTTTGTTAAACATAATAAGTGCTCATTAAATTATTAACATCCGATCCTGTT